GATCAGACCGCTCCTGGCGACGCTCAGCAGTCTTGGCCTTCGCAGCCTTCGTAGCCTTCTCCTTGGCGAAGCAAGAGGCCTCAGAGTGTCCCACAGCGTCGCAGAACGAGCAGCGGACGTCATGAGCGAAGGAGGGACTGCCAGAGGCCTTGAGAGCGAGAGAGGGGGTAGAGGAGAAGCCTCGGGTTGTACGCTGAGTCTCCTCGTTCTGGAAAGCGCTCTGGAGCTTCGAGAGGCTAAGAGAGTCGAGCAGGAGCAGGGAGGAGACGAAGTTGTTGTACTCAGCAGGGAGGGAGCGAATGAGAGACATAGAAGCGAGTTCCTCGTCCAGCTGCTCAATGGTGAAGTCCTTAGGGCGAAGGGAGCGGATATCCTGCATGGCCTTGTCCGCTCTAGCCATCAGAGAGACCAGGGACTCGCCCTCATCCTTCCTCAAGCCCAGGAGAACATCATAAGCGTTGAAATGCGCACCAGGCTTCTGCTGAACATGGACCTCCTTCAACTTCTCCCACATCTTCAACGGATCCGTCCTCAACCTCCTTCACATGCACCTTCTGCCCATCCTCCAAAGCCAACCATATCTCTCCAGCAGCTCTCCCCTTTCGCGCCTCCCACTTCCTCTGCTCCCTCTTGTCTTCGATGGTGGGTGTAGTCTCCGAGTAGAGCTCAGGAGCGGCTGTAGGGTCGCTAGTGACATCCCAGAGGTCAAGAGTCTTGAGGTAGGCCTCCATATCATCAGCCCAGGAGCCATAGTTCCTCTCCCCAAGGGCAGGGAAGGTCCTCTTGGCTTGAGACATTGCTGAGCGACGAAAAGAGCGATGAGAGGCGATAAGACGACGATGGGAGCGATAGGGAGCGATGAGCAGCCTAAGGGCGAAGCAAAGACCAGCAGAGACAGACTAGGGGCAGTAGAGAGGAGTTGGGAATGAGATGAGAGGAAGATGGAGTTGTAGGAGCGAGTGGGCGCGAGATGGGACGTCCAAGGGTTGTCTAGGGCGAACTGGCGCGACGAACAAGCCTAGGACGACGACAGGGACCGATAGGAACGATCTGGAGAGCGCAGGAGACAAAAATGTGATAGAGAGCAGATGGAGGGCTGGATAGGCTGAGATCTTGCTCTGATAAGAGTAGGAGCGCTGTAGAGGCTGTAGGACTGGCGAAAAGTGCGATCTGGAGCCTCTAAAGCGTTGGGCTCATAACCTGTCCAACTGGGAAGCTGGCAGTGTCCCTGATCTTGGCTCCAATCTCCTATCAGTCTTTCACCTCACTCGTGAAAAGGGCTTTCTATGCGAAATCCAAGATGCCCATGCCAAGTTCTACCTCCAAGGTGCCTTGAAGTTCCAGGCCAAAGTCAATGATGCCAACACAGGCTACCTGGAAGGTCGGACTGTCTCAGCTTCGCATTCTGCTCATTCTGCACTCAGCACACTCCCTTTGGACCTGGATCTATGGCATAAGCGCTGCTCCCACACCAATCTGTCAAGTATAATAAATGACCAGACCAGGGATTGAACCTGGGACCACCTGGCATATACCCAGGAGCTCTACCAACTGAGCTACCTGGTCTTGGTTCAGAGGACATACTAAGGTATAGGACCTTGTATAGCTGAGTGTAACTGTTGCCTACTACCCATAATGGCCTTCATGCAAGGCACTAGGTATTGGTAGGTCTTATGACAGTTCAGGGACTCACTCCTGTTAGATGAGTAAGCATGATTACCCATTCCAACACAATCTGGAGGATTTGCGTCAAGTGGTGTCCAAACAGCTTGTTTCTGGCCTTACCATCCGCTCTACTGCTGCACCAGACCCTATATGCGAGCCTTGTCTTGCTGGCAAGATGCACAGGCACAATGTACCCAAGACAGCCTCCAGGACACAGCGCAGACTCGCTCTTGTTCACACAGATCTCAAGGGACCTATGCCTACTGCAACTCCAGAGGGCTATCTCTACTGGATTGTCTTTGTAGATGATGCTTCGCGTTTCTGGGCTGTCATGTTCCTGCGTCAAAAGAGCGAAGCCCTGAGCGCCTTTAAGACTTTCAAAGCCTATGCAGAGAATGCTACTGGCTGCAAGGTCAAGATCCTGCGCGATGACAAGGGAGGGGAGTACAAAAGCACTGCCTTTGATGCTTTTTGCGCAGTTCTCGCTTCCAAGGCTCCCTGAGAGAGCCTCCCTTGCGCCA